AGCAGGGAGCCTGATGCGGTACTCGATCCCGGGACTCCAGGATCATGACCTGAGCCGAAGGCAGTCGCTTAACCAACTGAGCCACCCAGGCACCCTCTCTGATGACATTTCTAATGATTACATGTTAAAATGATGTTTTGGATGTATTGGGTTAAATGAAAAATATTATTTAAATTAGCTTCACTGGTTTCTTTTCACTTTTTTAATGTGGTTACTATAAAATTTAAGATGACATATGGGCTGACATTCTCTTTCTATGGAACAACACTGTTGTACACCTGTGTGGTCTGACAGAACTTTCTACAGTGATGGAAATGTTCTGTATCTACACTGTCGAATATGTGAGCCACTAGCTACCACATCTGTTGAGCACTTGAAATGTGGCTAATCCAACTGGGAAACTGAGTTGTTAAATTTTAATTAATTAAGTCAGGGGCGCCTGGGTGGCTCAGTCAGTTAGGCATCTGACTCTTGATTTTGGCTCAGGGCGTGACCTCAGGATTCTGATCTCAGGGTCCTGAGACTGAGCCCCACGTTGAGCCCTGCGTCATGCCTCGCGCTGACCGAAGAGCCCGCTAAAGATTCTCTCTCTCTCCCTCTGCCCCTTCACCCCCACGCTCACTCTCTCAAAAAAGATTTTTTTAAAGTTAATTAAGTTGAACTTTATACAGCCAGCGGCCAGTGGCTAGAGGCTACCCTACTGGCAGTAACAGTGCCTCCTGCTTGATTGAGGTGTAACACATTATACCCTGTATGTTAAGGTGCACAAATCTTAGATGTACATCTTTTAAAAAAATTTTTTATTTCAATTCAATTTAATTAACATATACTGTATTATTGGTTTCAGAGGTAGAATTCAGTGATTCAGCAGTTGCATACAAACCCCTGGTGCTCATTACTTCAAGTGCCCTCATTAATGCCCATTACTCAGTTACCCCATCTCCTCACCCCCCTCCCCTCCAGCAACCCTGTTTGTTTCCTATAGTTAAGAGTCTCTTACGGTTTGCCTCCCTCTCTGTTTTCGTCTTATTTTATTTTTCCTTCCCTTCTATGTTCATGTGTTTTGTTTCTTAAATTCCACATACGAGTGAAATCATACGGTATTTGTTTTTCTGACTGACTTATTTCACTGAGCGTAATACCCTCTAGTTCCATTCACGTCATTGCAAATGGCAAGATTTCATTCTTTTTGATGGCTGAGTAATATTCCATTGCTTATATTTATATACAAATATATATACCACATCTTTATCCATTCATCTGTCGATGGACATCTGGGCTTTTTCTATAGTTTGGCTATTGTGGGCATTGCTGCTATAAACATTGGGGTGCATGTGCCCCTGTAAATCACTACGTTTGTATTCTTTGGATAAATACCTAGCAGTGCGTGCAATTGCTGGGTCGTAGGGTAGCTATATTTTTAACTTTCTGAGGAATCTCCATACTGTTTTTCAGAGTGGCTGCACCATTAGATGTACTTCTTGATGAATTTTTCAAAAACGTGTAACTCTATAACCACCATCAAGATAAAGATCTAAAGTATTCCCAGCACCCCAGGAGGCCCCCTTATGCTCTATCCCCATCAGTAATACCCTCCTCCACAGGAAACCTCTATTTTGATCCTTATCATCATCACAAGTTAGTTCTGCTTATCCTAGAATTTCCCATAAGTGAAAACGTATAGTCTGTACTCCTTCGAGTCCAGCTTTTTTGCTCTGTCTGAGAAATTCAACCACGTTGTTGGATGTAGTAGTAGGTTTCTTCTTTTTTCTTTTTTTTTTTTAAAGATTATTTATTTATTTATTTGACAGAGAGAGACACAGCGAGAGAGGGAACACAAGCAGGGGGAGTGGGAGAGAAGCAGGCTTCCCGCCGAGCAGGGAGCCCGACGCGGGGCTCGATCCCAGGACCCTGGGATCATGACCTGAGCCGAAGGCAGTCGCTTAACCAACTGAGCCACCCAGGCGCCCCTCTATTTTCTTTTTTCTTTCTAAACACACACACTCACACATATGTATTTCATAAACTCTTAATTCAAGAACAGTTTTAGATTTACAGAAAAATTAGGATGCTAGTACAGAAACTGGGAATTTAGAACACATACCCAGTTTCCCCTATGATCAACACCTTACACTAGTGTGGTACATTTGTTCCAGTTAAGTAACTGATATCAGTTCATTAACTAAAGTCTATACTTCCTTCAGATTTCCTCAGTTTTTTTCCTAAAGTCCTTTTTCTGTTTCAGGACTCCATCCAGGACACCACACTAAATCTAGCTGCCATATCTCTTTAGGCTCCCCTTGGCTGTGACAGTTTCTGATTTTCCTTTTCATGACCTTGACAGTTTTGAGGAGTACTGGTCAAGTATTTTGTAGAATGTTCCCCGGGATCTGTCTGATGCTTTTCTCATGATTAGAGGGGTTATGGGGTTATGGGGTTATGGGTTTTGGGGAGAAAGTCTACATAGGTAAAGTGCCATTTTCCACACATCATGTCAAAGGTATATGCCATCAACATACTTATCACCATTGATGTTGATCTCGACCACAAACTGAGGTAGTGTTAGGTTTCCCCACTGGAAAGTTACTCCTCCCTATCCCCTTTCCATACTGTTCTCTTTGGAAGGAAGCCACTATGCCAGCCTGAGACCATGACCTGAGCCGAAGGCAGATACCCAACTGACCGAGCCACCCAGGTGCCCCTATTTTGGTTTACAATCTAACACTACTTTATCTGCTTTTATCAGGTGGCTCCCATGTCCCTGTGACATCATCATCATTGGTGAGTTTTTTGTTTTTAGCACTTCCGTATTTTCTGGCACTACACATTGCTCCAAACTCACCTTGTGTATTTCTTGCCCCAGGGCTAGAATTGCCATTTCTCCAAGGAGCATTGGTTACTTTTATTGGAGAATACTAGAAACCAAGATCTGGATGTTAAGTTGTGCTCATTGCTACTGGACTGCGCATATATATATTTAACAAAATTATTCCTATTGTTGTAAAATACACATACAAATTTTCCATTTTAACTATTCTTAAGTGTCAGTGCAGTGACATTAAGTACGTTCATAATGTTGTGTAACCATCACCATCCATCTCCAGAACCTTTTCATCCTCCCAAATTGAACCTCTGTACCTACTAAACACTAACATTAAACCCACCAACATTCTACTTTCTGTCTCTGTGAATTTGACTATTCTAGGTCTTTCATATAAATGGAATCATACAATATTTGTCCTTTCATGCCAGCTTATTTCACTTAGCATAATGTCTTCCAGGTTAATCCATGTTATTGCAATGATTAGAATTTCCTTCCTTTTAAGGCTCAGTAGTATTCTATTGCATCTACACATATACCACACACACACTTTTTTTTAACCACACACACTTTTTTTTTTAAAGATTTTATTTATTTATTTGACAGAGAGAGACACAGTGAGAGAGGGAACACAAGCAGGGGGAATGGGAGAAGGACAAGCAGGCTTCCCGTGGAGCAGGGAGACCCATGCAGGGCTTGATCCCAGGACCCCGGAACCATGACCTGAGCCGAAGGCAGACTCCCAGCGACTGAGCCACCCAGGCGCCCCCCCAACACACATATTTTTAAACACAATTTTAAACCATAGGTATTACTCATTTTTTACTCAATGATACATTTTTATTAATATATTTTAAGAAAACGTACTATGAAGAAAGCTACATTTACCTATGTAATAAAGATTCAATGAAGACTAGGTAACAGTAAGACATCCTTAGTAATTAGAGATAAACTTACCTTCTAGGGATAAGATTAGACTGAAAATGACATCAGTTGCAGAAATCATCCACTTGTAAGGTTTGATCATAAAATGAGTGGCTGAAGAAAACCACAAGACACCCACCATCAAATTTAAGCATGATTGTATCAACAAATTTCAAGTTGTAACACAATCCAGTTGTAATCTACCCCAATAGAAGCACCTATCAAAAAAAGAAACATAACCTAATCAGAATGCATACATCTATCCGCTCTACAAGTATTTATTGACCACATGGTTCTCTCCTCCATCCCACACACAAATTTTTTTTTTAAAGATTTTATTTATTTATTTATTTATTTGAGACAGAGAGAACGAGAGAGAGAGAGCACATGAGAGGGCGGAGGGTCAGAGGGAGAAGCAGGTTCCCTGCTGAGCAGGGAGCCCGATGCGGGACTCGATCCAGGGACTCCAGGATCATGACCTGAGCCGAAGGCAGTCGCTTAACCAACTGAGCCACCCAGGCGCCCCTCACACACAAATTTTAAATCTGAGCTTCTTAACTGTGACGCTAACGGCAGGGGTCTTTAATTATGCCTCAAGAATCACAGGGCATAGGGTTGGAGCAGTACATTCAGAAGCCCAAGTCATCATAATTAGCTTGGGAGTGGAAGAAGAGAAAGAGAGGCAACTTCTGGAAACAAGCAGAGTATTTTTTTTTTAAGTAGGCTCCACACCCAGCATGGGCCCAGTGCGGGGCTTGAACTCGTGACCCTGAGATCAAGACCTGAGCTGAGATCAAGAGTCTGATGCTTAACCAACTGAGCCACCCAGGCACCCCTAGAAAGAGTATTTTATATAGCAATCAGATGCTTAATCCCAAAACTAATAGTACCATACAGTACTGTAGTCCAGATTTTTTTTTAAGACTTAATTTTTTTTTTTGAGATTTTATTTATTTATTTGGCAGAGAGAGACACAGCGAGAGAGGGAACACAAGCAGGGGGAGTGGGAGAGGGAGAAGCAGGCTTCCTGCCGAGCAGGAGCCCGATTCGGGGCTGGATCCCAGGACTCTGGGATCATGACCTGAGCCGAAGGTAGACACTTAACGACTGAGCCACCGAGGTGCCCCAAGACTTAATTTTTTAAAAATTTATTTATTTCAGACAGGGTGGGGAGGGGCAGAGGGAGAGGGCAAGAGAGAATCTCAAGCAGGCTTCGTGCTCAGCACGGAGCTCAGCACGGAGCCTGACACGGGGCTCAATCCCAGGACCCTATCCCAGGACCCTGAGGTCATGACCTGAACTGAAATCAAGAGTTGGGCGCTTAACCGACTGAGCCCCAGGCACCCCTTTAGATTTTATTTTTAAGTAATCTCTACACCCAACATGGGGCTCGAACCTATGACTGAGTCAGCCAGGCACCTCCTGTAGTCCAGATTGAAGGATGTTTCCTATTTTGCCAGGCAACCAACTAAAGAGATTGGATAATGGTAGATAACTTTTAACGTGATTCCAAATTTCACTGGAGGTGGGGTTGTTGATATTGTGAAGCTAGGAGGCTTGTATAAAAAAATTATGTAGCTCTACTTTGGGGAGGAAGTAGTTCTCAAGGTGTAACAAGAGCTATCAGCAACAGCAGACACCCCCTTGTCCTGCCAACTGGCAGTGCTATTTGATAGTCTAGGACTACTGAAGCAAGGGAGTGCAAGAATGATTGTTAAGTTTTGCAGGACTGAAGCAATATAGTGGGATAATTCTTCTAGGGTATTTGTTGAATTACACAGGGTAGCTTCATGATAGGCAAACTCTTCCCAGGGGGCCAACATGCCTATGGCCAGACCAGTTCTAGCAATTATTATACCTTAAAGCCCTTTTGGTTCTATGAGGGACTGTGGGGTTTGTGGGCAACATGATAGACAGATGGGGTTGTATGAATCCTAGCATGCATTGTCTAGTGACCCAGTTAATGCATTTGAAGGGTAGGGTTTGGTTAGTTATTTTTTCATAGGGGTTGCCAATAGGGGAAGACAATTAAGGGGACAACCACAGATGAACAAGTACGCTTCAGGAGCACACCAAGATTGAATTGCTCCTGTTTTATTGCCCAGAGTGGTGCTACTGATGATTGGGAAAGAAGAGTGGCACAGTGGGAAGATAGGGGCCCTGCAGTAAGGCTAGAACTTGGTATTGGTTTGATTATAGCAAAACCTCTTCCAAGGGTTCCAGTGACAGGGCTTTTTATGAATCATTCCCCTGGAGATTACTGGACCCAAGCATTGATAGTAAGTTTCATTATTCATCTTCTGCTCTGGGATGACCTGGCAGAGGGCAGTAGCGTTAGGGGAGGTGGATGAGATATAGTTGCAGCTTGATAGATTATAGCAATCAGCTAATACAAAAGTGAGATTTATATCTGTAGAGACCTTAGATTTAAAAGGACAAGAGGCAAGGCTTTGGACTGGGGTGGACCAAAGGCAGCTGTTGGTTTGGCCAACTGGGTTTTGATTAGGCCATTAGAGTGTTCAACCAATCCTGAGTATTGAGGATGGTAGGTGCTTTATGAAAATGTTGAAAGATGGCCAGATTTTGCAGACCTCTTGGACAATTTGTCCAGTAAAATGGGTTCCTCAATCACAGTGTAGCTATCAAGGAATATCCCAATTGGGAATGATTGTTTTCTAATAGGTTTTTGGCCACTGCTTTTGCTGTTGCTTGCCTGCAAGGAAATGCCTCAGTTCTGTGAGAAAACATACAGATCGTTACCACTGGGGAAGCTGGATGAAATCAATTTGCCAGATGTCAAAAGGCCCCTCAGGAAGAGGAACTTGACCTAACACAGTGTGATATGGTTTCCCAGGATTGTGCAAGGGGGCAAATTGTACATTTTGAAATATTAATTGGGCAACAGTTAGAGATGGTTTACAATAGTATTGTTGTGCCCATAGGACCATTTTATTTGTGCCCCATGTGTCATACAGATGAATATTTGTGAATCAGAAGTTTGAAGTGTCACATCTTTGGTGGCTTGGTCAGCCTAACGATTGCTCTTGGCTTCAGGGTTATCAAGTTTGAAATGGGTTTGAACTTTTATAAGAGCTAAGCTGGAGGGAAGGAGAATGGAGTCAAACAGTTTTTTATTGTTTTGTTTTTGTTTTGTTTTATTATTTATTTATTCATGAGAGACAGAGAGAGAGAGGCAGAGGGAGAAGCAGGCTCCCAAGGAGCAGGGAGCCCGATGCGGAACTCGATCCCAGGACCCTGGGATCATGACCT